CAGGGGGCTCTGAGGACAGCAGGTACGCAGACCTGCCCCTGCATCGTCCTCCCAGCCCTGCAGTGTTGCCTAAGCTATAGAAACAGAAGTTTAGAGCAATGTCGGCAATGTAGCGTTGAGCTAAGTTGAACAGTATCAAATATTTTCAAGCTTCCCAGCGCTAAAAATCTCTCCCAGCCTGCTTTAACACTCCAGACACCGACACACCTCAGTGGGGCTCTCCCTCAACGAGCACTCGTACAGGTCAGAAGCTTTACCAGCAGAATGATCGCTCTGCCCATCAGTAACAGACCTGAGCAACCAGAGGAAAACAGCTTAGCATCACATCTAGGCTGCACCCCACTGCTTTTGGAGACACTCACACCACTTAAAAACCACTCTAAAGATACTTGCAGCAGCGGTTTAGATGTTTGCTGCCACCTCTCTCTTTGATAAAGGTATACAGGGTAGCAAGCCAGCTTTGCATATGTAAAACCTTTACATGCCAAGGGAAGTTTAAACAGAGGGTGTCAGCATTACCCAGCAGCTCCAGCTATATTCAGTTTTATCTGCCAGCATCACTTCCAAAATCCAGGCTGGGAGGTGTGTGGAGGGGGAATTACAAACTGTAATTTCGGCATTAAAAATTACCTTCCCCCCCCAGTGTCACTGTTTGCAGAAGAAATCTCTGCTTTGCCAGTAAGGGGTTTTTCTCGTCCCATTCCTATCTGCTGATGGTACCCCTACTGCAAGAGACCCAGTCCTTGCCCACCAGGTTTCCAAAGCCACTGCTGTCAGTCTCATCTTTAGCTTGAAATACGGCTTCGGGAGGTGGACCAAAGCCTTAATTCAGCCATTTCTGCTATTGCAAATGTGTGTTTTGATACAGGCATTGTCTCGCTCATCTCCCTGGCTGTACTTTCGTACGAACGTTACTGCACTATGACGGGAACAACAGAGGCTGATACCACAAACTACAGGAAAACATGGGCAGGCATCGTCCTGTCCTGGACATACTCCTTGGTGTGGACTGCACCTCCCCTTTTCGGCTGGAGCAGTTACGGGCCAGAAGGACCAGGGACAACGTGCTCCGTGAACTGGCATTCAAAGGATGCCAACAACGCATCCTACATCATATGTCTTTTCATCTTTTGCCTTGTAATCCCTTTTGTCATTATTGTGTGTTCATACGGGAAGCTGCTGTGTGCTATAAGGCGGGTAAGTAGATTCCTCAGCTGCCTTTTTTTCTGTGACCCTGAACCAAGCAGAAACCAGTGCCCATCATTTTCCACCTTTATAACTTCTCTGCTGTCAGATGTGCTGCCCCCCTTGGAGCTGAGTCTCCTGTGACTGTCTTGGTGACAGGCTCCAGCCTACCAGGGCATTAAAAGTCACGCTCAAGTGTGAGCAGCTGGAAGTCAGCATGACAGCTTCGTAGATGAGGGAGGTTTGCCAGACCACTCAGGATACTCCCAATTACCCCTTATTAAAGCTAGGAAGGACTGACCTATCTTGATGAGATCAGTGCCAGGATTTAAATCCACAGCAAGCCTATGGAGAGGTGAGCATCACCTGCAGGTTGAGAGGCTGTGAAATTTGTGGAGGGCATGGGAGCTGGGATTTCTGAAGATCAGTGCTGCTTCTCTGAAAGCGTAAGAGTGAACCCTGCAGCAAAGGGTGCAAAAAAGAGAAGTCATGTATAATCCAGCTGCTGGCAGGATCCAGGCAAAGTCAGAAACTGGGAAGCTTACCCCTTGCACACAAACCAGAGCCAATCCATAGATGACCATGGGCTTTTATTCCCAAGATCAAGACCAGGCAGCTCAGGCCAGGCCACCTGCTCCCCCCCAGCACAAAGTGAGCATTCATGGTCCTGCACAGCTCCATGCTCAGCCCCCATGCCCTGGGAGCCCACCTCAAGCTGGGGCTCCATCAGTGCTGCAAGATCTGGCTTTGTCTCAGCTCTGCAGCCGGTGCCTGCAAGATAAGAGGGAATTAGATAAAAATCACTCTGTGAGCCACATTTGCAGATGTAAACATTTAACTTAAGCTTATTATTGCTCGGGGACTCTGGACAGTATTAAATCAAATCAGTGGAGATGTTTGAGTTAATCCTTAGCTTTTCCCAGCCCGTCATCACATTACAAATACCTTTCATTCCCCGATAGAGCTCAGTCCTCTTTGGTCACCCTGTGCTGTGCACATCGGCTGCTCCTGCACCACCACAGACCCATCCCCTGCGTGCAGCCTTTGGGGCAGGCTCTCATGGGACTCTGTTTTTTCTGTCTGTTGAAGCTACAAAAACGGGTGTAGAGCTGCTGCTTGTTGCAAGCAAGTCACAGCAGCCAAGGCTGGAGCAGACAGTGCCTGCAGGAGAGGCTTTTCCTCTCCAAAACTACTCCATGGGCAAAAAAACAGCAAGAAAACCTGGTTGGAGAGTTGTTCCCTGCAGGAAGGTTGTGCTGTCCAATACGTTGACAGACAGAGTCGCTATTTCTGCTGGGGCTGCACCTAGGTGGAAGCACTGAAAGGTGTAAGTTTTCTTATTAAATCATCCATCCATCACATAACAAGTGAGTTTTAGACCCCAGAGAGGTACCTGTCTTCAGGACAGCTTTGGCCACTCATATGTCACCCATTCAGGTGGCAGCAGGACTCAGCAGAGCCCTCTGCAAACCCTTTGGTGATGTGAACCAGTCCTCCAGTGACTGCAGTGGCATGGAAAGGGGACAGGATGGTGGCAAGGGGCTGCAGCACCCTTCATCGGAGTGTGAAGGTCAGGAGCTGCCTTTCCTGGGCTGTCTGGTCCTGCAGGGACCCCAGCCATGGGAAACCACCTGGCAAATAACAGACTGAACAGAAAGGAAAAAAAGACTGAACAAAATCAGCTGCACATGCAAGCTAAATGTCTAAGGAATTGAACAACAGACATTCGTGCTTTTAGATGATCCCAAATTGTAGGCAATGCTCTAAGCCTCTAGCATGCTTTCATCTCCCGCCATGAATATCTTCCCATAACTAAGGTCATCAGCACCACTTATGGGAGTAAAATTGTAGTGGGCAATCAGGGTGTTTGGTTTCAGTGGGGCATAAAGAATTATATCCCTTCATTTGACATATGTATTTTCATGCTCTGGTTCCTGACATGAGGAGATCACAGGAGATAGGCAGGGATGCTTAACATCATGGAGATCAGACCAGGCTCTCATATTCTCCTTTGCTGCTCAAAAGCAGCTGACCCTACTGTCTTGCTTCAAGCTCACAGGTTTCCTTAAACCTGAAGAAAGTTGTCACCACTAAGAGAGGACCCATTTTTGCCTCAGTTTCAGGCTGGCAGGGAAGGGTCGGCTCTGAGCTGTTTCAAATGACCACCACAGGAGCTTGAACATACTGCAGAGTGCCATTGACAACAAATCTGAATGCTGAAAAAACCCATTAGAAAATGGGGGGTCTTTAGGTTTACAAACACATCAAGCTTTCCTCTTAACCATCTCCTTTCTGAGAATTCTCTCTGTTTTTGTAGCGATTTCATGCCTCCCCTGTGAAGCCCCATGCAGGACCCCGGTGAAAGCAAAGGCTGCTGCTTTCCCAGGAGAGGTTGTTGTGCTGCAAGGGCACGATGGAGCTGGGTACAAGGGTTTACCTCCTTCCTGAGCTTCCTGAACGGGGAGCTTCCCTGCAGTGCCTCAGTTGGGATGGCAGGAGCCGGCTTTGCCTCCCCTGGCTGGTCCCATTCCCAACACGGAGCTGCTAGCAGGAACCTGCTGACTGGGGTTTGCTGCAGAGATGCTTTTAATTGCCTCAGTTTCGTTAGCAGAGTATCAAGAGTGCATTACTTCCCCTGTAGCTGAGTAGGTAGCTTCAGATGAGTACACAGGATCTCATGCACGCTACCTGCTGCAGCGGGGAAGCCATAATCCTGCAGCTCAGGTTGAATGAGAAGTTCACAAAAATGACAAAGTGAAACAGAGCCTGGGAGAAAGCTGGCAACAAGCCGTGAGCAAGCTGCAAGAGGCTGAAAAGCAAATCCACCAACTGCTTCGTACATCCCATAGCCCAGTGCCCTAAGAGGTCCTAGGAGCCCCAGCAGGGTTCAAGGATGTCGCACTAACCCATTTCAGTGCTCAAGGAGAAGCATGAGACTCTCTTGCTTAGAGACATGGTTTAGTGGTGGACAGGTTGGACTGATGATCTTAAAGGTCTTTTCCAACCAAATGACTCTGTGATTCTGTTGCTCACGGCTGGGGAAACCCTCTGGGACATGAAGCTGGGCAGCACAGGAAAGCGGGATGTGTCCTCCATCCACAGCCCCATGCTGGTTTGAAAAGCTTGGTCTATTATTTTAACTGCCTATTACTTTAGTGCTTCAGGGAACCATTCTGGCCAGAAGAAACTGTGCTCATGGACAAGACTCCCATGGGCACTTCAACGATGCAAACAGTACATAGGCTACTGAAAATAATAATGTTGGGATTTCTTCTAGTACAGACACTTCACAGCCAGTGCCAGGTTCAACCTGAGCTCTTGGATGTCCTGCAGGAGCACGAGATCCTTATGGCCATT